GTCTGTTTTTTATTGACCTGTGAGAAATCTTTGAATATTGGGGTATTGTTTTATTTGGACTCCAAGTTCGTAATTTGACGTTTAACTCTGCAAATAGTGATTTTTAAAGTAAATGTCATTTATATTTTGTTTTTGTGTATAAAATTTTTGTCAAAAATTTATCGATATGTCATTGTATAGTTTCAGGCTTTTGTATCATGGTTAAGAAAGACTTTTGTCCTTTCAGGATTGCATAAATACCCATATTTCCTTATAGTAGTTTTAGGATTTAATTTTTTTACATGATAATCTTTGATTCTCCTGGGATTTATTATTTTTTTACACTAAACTTTTTATTCCAAACTCTAATCCTATCACAGGGCCTTTACACTACCTCTTTCCAAATTCTTAGCATGTTTTTTATTTTCTTTTTTAAAATTTATTTTTAATGATAGTCAACATACAATATTATATTAGTTTCAGATGTACAGCATAATGATTTACATACCTTATGAAATGATCAACACAATACGTCTAGTAACCATACATCATGGTACATAGTTATTATGATATTATTGACTGTAATCCCTATGCTATACATTACATCCCCATGACGTATTTTATAACTGGAAGTTTGTGCTTCTTAATTCCCTTCTTCTTTTCCACTCATTCCCCCACCTCCCTCCCTCTGGCAACCATAAGTTTTACTCTTTGAATATATCATTTGCAGATATCTCCTCCCATTCAGTTGGTTGCTTTTTTGTCTTGTTGATGGTTTCCTTGACTGTGCAAAACCTTTTTAGTTTGATTTAGTTCCATTTGTTTATTTTTGCTTTTGTTGCCTTTGCCTGAGGACATATATCGAAAAATTTTTTTTTATGGTTTCAGGACTTACCTTTAAGTCTTTAATTCATTTCGAGTTTACTTTTGTGTATGGTGAAAGAAATTGGTCTAGTTTTATTTTTTTGCATGTATATGTCAAGTTTTCCCAACACCATTTATTGAAGAGACTGTCTTTTTCCTATTGTACATTCTTGCCTCTTTTGTTTTAGATTAATTGACCATATAAGTAAGTGTGGGTTTATTTCTGGGTACTCCATTCTATTCTATTGATCTATGTTTCTGTTTTTGTGCCAGCAACATACTATTTCGATTAGTATAGCTTTGTAGTATAGTTTGAATCAGGGAGTGTGATATCTCCAACTTTGTTCTTCTTTCTCAAGATTTGCTTTGACTATTTGGGGTCTTTTGTGATTCCATATAAATTTGAGGATTATTTGTTCTAGTTCTGTGAAAAAATGCCATTGACATTTTAATAGTGTTTGCATTGAATTTGTGGATTGCTTTGGGTAATATGAACATTTTAATTCATTCTTCTAATTCATGAGCATGGTATATCCTTTCATTTATTTGTGTCTTCTTTAATTTCTTCTATCAATGTCATAGTTTTCAGAGTATAGATCTTTTACTTCCTGTTTAAATTTATTTCTAGGTATATTATTCTTTTTAATGCAGTTGTAAAAGGGATTGTTTTCTTAATTTCTCTGTCAGATAGTTTGACATTTATTTTTGAATAAGAAGAAAGATAAGCCAGTTCTATTTTTATCCTAATTGCTAGCCAGTTGTTAAGACTTCATGAATATCTCTTTTATTATTGATTTAAAATGACTCATTTTCTTACATTAAATTTCCTTATATATTTGAATCTATTCCTGGGATATATTCTATTCTTTGATCTATCTATTTCTGAATAATTATTATTGAGATTTTTTTTCTGTGGCTTTATACTATTTATAGGATAAGTATCCCTTCATTTTTTTCTTCTTTTTCAGGTATTCTGTCTATTTTTGCATATTTACTTGATGAACTTAAAAATCATTTGGTCCCACTAACCAAAATCCTTCTAGTGTTTTCAACTGGAGTTATATAATATTTTTAGATTAATTAGGGAAAAATTGGCACCTTTATAATACTGGGTTTTTTATTGAATAAAAAGTATTTCCCCCATGGATTCAAGCATTCTCTTAGGTCTTTCAATAGCATTTTATGTTTGCTTCATATAATCTTGGCCATTTTAATAGATTTTTCTAGATATTTTAATTTTTTTATTTTTGCTGTAAATGGAATTATTTCCTTCTATAATATTTTCTAATTGTTAATTGTTTTTGTAAAACTGTTGCCTTTTTTTTTACTTTATTTCCAGACACTTTAATGAGCACTCATATTTTTTCTAATCATCTCTTGGTTGACTTTAGCCTTCACTCACCAAGAGGTACCCAGGAGACTAAAGAAGCCAATACAGGTCCCTTATTGTGGGACATGACTTGAGATCATTAGAGAACTTGGCATAAAATAGGAGTTTTTGGAATATAATCTGTACATTCAGAGAGGACCAAATTTGGGCCAATCCCACATCACTGACATGTAATATAAGCCAGACTAAGTATGTTAGAATGAATAATCATGCTGTTCTTATGAGATTATTTAATATTCTGAGATGTCCTTAATCTCAATTAATTAATCTCTCAGGATTAATCTTTGTGAATTCTGTATTATTTATGTGAATTAGAGAAAGTCTGGATTTAATTAAGCCTGAAGATAACAGGTTCTGTTTGAGGAGGGAAAATGTGAAGGATGGAAAGGAGAACTGAACTGACTTCCTCAAGAAAAGAGTTCACTAGATTGTGAATCCTAGGCCTGCTAATTTTTGTATGTGTATATAATTTCACAAATGAAATGTAACTTATTTTCTTGTTGTGAGTGATCCTATTTCCTCCTTCCCCGACAAACACTTGTTCTAACTACCCACCATCCTGACCCCCTAGTTCAGTAGGTGTAAGATGGTCTGACATTGCCATCTGGTGGCTACCTGGGGAACTGTATGAACTAATCTGTTGGACCTGCAGCCTGAGTTGGCATCCTGGAGGCCAGAACCGGGCTTGGTAATAAGCAGTTTATGCCTGTGGCTACAGGCAAAGAGAGAAGATAATCGAAGCCCCAGTCCTGACAAAGGCTGCCTGGGGGAGCTGGGAAACAAGGACAAAGCCAAAGTCTACGTCTACAGGCGCTGCTAGACAGCAAGGACTAGGCCCAAAAGGAGAGGTCTGCAAAGGAGTTCCAGCTGGAGAGACAGCTCCTGAGCCAAAGCAAAGAAAGGGAGACTTTTTTTCCCCCCGCCCTTAATGGACCATCTGCATTCATTCAGTCTTGGGGCAGGGATCAGCTTAATTGTGGTCTTCCAGTCAATTCTAACACCTTTTTTCAGGGGTTTCCTTGGCTACCTTTTTAAAAAATTTTCTTAAAAATTTCCTCCCATAGCTTAAAACGCAGATAATTCCACATAAGGCAAAGTCTACTCCACATTCTTCTGCGTTCTCTCTTTTCCCTTTCCCCTCTATCTTTCTTCCTCCCTTGCTCCCTCCTTCCTACCTCCTTTTCTCTTTTCCCTTCATTTTCAGCTCTTATTCTTGCATTCTCAGGAAAACCTCTCTCATCATTCTATTTGGGAGCCAAAACATAATCCGAATTACAGCTAATAAACCTAGGGATAGTGCTTGTGGGTCAGCATTATCAAGGCAAAGGGAAGGCAGAGATTGTGAAGTAAAGAGCTGGAATCCTTGAAACAGGAGTCCTTTCAGCATTACCATGAGGCCCAGCCTTCTAATCAACCCTGAGCTGATTTCCCCGTTGCCTGCATTCAAGAGTTTTGTCTGTTGTATTCACTGCCATATTCCCAGCATTTAAAATAGCACCTGGCATATAGAAGGAGCTCTATTAATATTTGTTGAAGGAATGAATAAATATTCTTGATGAATAAGCCAATCTGGCTTATTTCTTTTTACTGCATTTCAGTTTTGCCTTGTAAGTGTTGCAGTGATGCTAATTTTCATTGTGAAAGCATGGTTTTGACTTTTGGGGATAATTTATGCATAAGACATGAGGCTATTTCTAGCACAAAAATAATTATTTTTAAAATTTCAGCCTACCAACTGACAGGTTTTCAAAAAATCACCTGTTGGTAAATTGGGGACTCTCTCTACCTTTCCCTTTTCATGCTTCAAGAGTGTATCTTTTACTGTATATACATAAATGAAGTATAAAAACACCAAAACGACCAGCTTTTACCTGTCTTAACTTCTCAAGTGCACTTTGCATTCTCCCCAAAATAAAAGCCAAGACCATTAAATACAGAGGCGAAAACAGATTTCGAAAGCTGAAAATGAAAAGCATCTGGCAAATGTCTTACTGTATGTTTTCTGTTTGCTGAATCTCTTTTGCATTATAAATCCATGATAACAGACAGAGAAATGTTTATTCTCTATATAGATCTAAGCACAGAGAAAATCTTACGTTTACCTAATATTTTTCAGAATTGTACCCTTTCTTGAGCCTTCTCAAGAGAGGGGAAGGTGTTTCTCTGATGTTACTCTTGTGTGAGAATCTTCTGGGGGTAAAACAATGATCGCTTGCTACTTTCCATTCCAAAACCCTAGAATTTCCTAAATATCTCACGAATCTCTGTGATCTTAAAGAAGTGCTTTCACTGCACTGCAGAGGAGCAGTTAAAATGAATTAAAAGCTTAACTGAATTAAGACAGCTGAGCAGATCAGTGGGTGCATAATATCAGAGTGTGGTAGACCTTGGTTAATTCGTGAGTATGTGTCACAACATCCCACATCAGGCTTCACATTTTGCTTCTGGCTGACATTGGCGGCAGTGGTCATAGGAGGAATATGAGAAGTTACAAGGTGTGGAAAGAGCATGGACTAGTATTACAGGCAGAGGGCTCTTACTAAACCTGGCAGTGTCTCAGCTAATTGTGTGGCCTGGAATGAAATAGGTAACTTCTCAGAGCCTTAGTGTACCTTTCTGAAAAATGGGAATAATGATGCCTACCTAGAAGACCTATTGTGAAGAATGGAACTACTAGGTGTAAAGCCTAGCACCTACCTGGAGGTACTTCCCAGTTGATGAGTTGTGATCGCCATAGTCACATGTTCTCTTTGCATTTCTCACCTAGGTACCTTGGGATCACCAGGCCGCTAACATACCCTGTGAGGCAGAACGGGAAATGCATGGCGAAAATGATTCTCTCCGTCTGGCTTCTTTCCGCCTCCATCACTTTACCCCCGCTCTTCGGATGGGCTCAGAATGTAAATGATGACAAGGTGTGCCTGATCAGCCAGGATTTTGGCTACACGATTTATTCCACCGCGGTGGCATTTTATATCCCCATGTCCGTCATGCTTTTCATGTACTACCAGATTTACAAGGCCGCCAGGAAGAGCGCTGCCAAACACAAGTTCCCCGGCTTCCCGCGCCTGCAGGAGCCGGACAGCATCATCTCCCTGAACGGCATGGGGAAGCTCCAGAAGGAGGTGGAGGAGTGCGCCAACCTTTCGAGACTCCTCAAACACGAAAGGAAAAACATCTCCATCTTTAAGAGGGAGCAGAAAGCAGCCACCACCTTGGGGATCATCGTCGGGGCCTTCACCGTATGCTGGCTGCCGTTTTTCCTCCTCTCCACAGCCAGGCCCTTCATCTGTGGTACTTCCTGCAGCTGTATCCCGCTGTGGGTGGAGAGGACATTTCTGTGGCTGGGCTATGCAAACTCTCTCATTAACCCTTTTATATATGCCTTCTTCAACCGGGACCTGAGGACCACCTATCGCAGCCTGCTCCAGTGCCAGTACCGGAATATCAACCGGAAGCTCTCGGCTGCAGGCATGCACGAGGCCCTGAAGCTTGCTGAGAGGCCGGAGAGGCCCGAGCTTGTGCTGTAAGGTCATTTATCACTATTTTCCTTTCATTCCCCCCAACCGTTCTATGGAACGCCTTGAAGCATGTCTCAGAAAGCTTCTTAAATCAGCAGCTAGCGTGTTTTCTACTAAGCATGTTAGATTTGAATTTAAAATTCTGTGGATTCCAGCCCTCTACCCGACAGAACTCTGAAAGCCAAAGATTGGTACTTAGCTGGTTTGGAAGACGAGACTGATGTGCTGATGAACTGCCATTAATATGCTTGACGACAAAGAAAATGATGTTTGCCATCCTTTCTCCATTAATAACATCCAAATTATGTCCGTATATTTCCAATTATTATAACATTATAATTTTCATTGCTATTGTTCTTACATCCAGTAAAACTTTTTTGATGGCCTCATCCTTTACTGATAAAGGAAGCAAATCCACACAGGTTGAAAGCTTCAGAGCTTTTAGGAAGTGCTGCCTGCCTTCTTAGGAGTTGAGAGCTGACAGAGAGCTGTTGAGTTTGTCTAGGAGGCATTAGTGACTTTCCAGGAAGCAATTGCAATAGGGTGTTGGGATCTGAAAAAAGATTGCAAAGGGCCAGTTGTGGTAAGGAAATGGACCCTTCCCATGTAACCCACATATTCATGAAGTTAGCATTGTAAAGAAGGTAGGAGACAGCACAGTAATTAGAGTTCTGGCAGGTCAAATGAAGATTTTACTTTAAATTTGAGGTAAAGGAGACATCTTCATGATTGAAAGCTGAGGGAAAAGATACTGGAATGAGAAGATGGAAGGTGCCGATGAGAGAGAGCGGATTAGTGTTGGACATGTGAGACAAGGAGGCGGTCCCCTTCACTAAACCTGGCAGGAGGGAATAGACCAGGGAACCATGGACCACTGTGGCTGAGGGGACCTTCCCAGTCATCCTGTCCAGACTCTTCATTTGACAGAAGAGGTAACCCGAGACCTTGAGAGCGAGATGTCCCACAGTAAGCTCGTGGCACCACTAACTAGGTCCAGAAGCCACATAATCTGAGTCTTACTTCCATCTAATTTTCATGTATTAGATTCCTTTGTGTGTGATAAAGGTGGCAAGGACACCTCTGTGCTCCCAGCTAGCTTGAGATCAGCCCTGCTCTCAAGAAGAGTACCAAAGTACCCTCATGGATTACAATAGACCCCAGAGGCTCCAAATGTAGGCTACTCCCCCAAATGGCTCTGAAAACTTCTAGGAACTCATCCCATTCTCTGACTTCACTAGAATGAAGCTAGGCAGAAACATCCCCTAACAAGGATGAGGGAAATTAGAGATTGTTTCTTGTCCTGGGAGCTCAAAGTTGTGGGACTATAGATATGTTAGTTCTTGAACCTGGGTGTAGCTTCACAGGTATTCATTGTCACATCTATTAGATATACTCTTTTGTACATAATGAAAGTGTTTACAATAAAAATGTTAAAAAAATGTTTTTTGAAGAATACAATTTTTGCTTCTAGAATATGCACTATGACAAACCTGTATCCCCAGGGATCTTTCCAGGATGATAAGATTGTTAGTGAGTGGACCACTAGTGTTTGCTCACCAGATTCTAAATTCCTTCAGGGAAGGAGATGTGTGATATTTAGATTTCTATTTACAGGTCTAGTACAGTGCCTGACATATAATAGATGATAAATAAAAGTGATAATGGCTAACAATTATTGAACACCTATCACATGTTATATACCATTCTACCTGTAATGTAGGTGCTTCTAGCATCCCCAATTTTCAGAAGAGTAACTGAGGCTCAGGGACATAAAGTAACTTACCTAAAGTCATATAGTCCCTACATGCTAGATGTGGTATAAATCACCCCAGTGCAACTCTGTTTGTCAAATGATTTCAGTCTGTAGTCAGTGAAGAGCTATGGAATGTTTTTGAGCTGAGATTTGTAGCCATCAGCCCTCTAAGAAGACCATTAGAAAAACCTGTTAGTAGAAGTAAGTTTGTTAGACTCAGTGCCTTATGGGAAGACATCTTCTTGACAGAGTCTTTGTAGTTTCTCAGATGGAGGAAATAAAGGATATCCATAGAGTTTTAGGGCTTGTGCTGTGTGATATGAAGGTGGGGAACTGGTGAGAACTGGGCAGTGTTTATGAGAGAATAGCTTTTGATTGGTGGATGCAGCTAAAAGTGAGGGCCTCAAAGCCAGTATTAATGAGCAAACTATTAGTCTTGATCAGTAAGCTGTATTGGTTGGTGTGCAGTCTTAGCTTTTGGAAACAACTATTTCCTGGGAGAAGGAACTGGATTATTTTGCCTAGTTGCAGAGATGTTTAGCTCAGGAACAGGAAAGCATGTTGGTTTCAGTTCTCAGTAGTAACATGCTGAGCTGTGTGTTTGAGGAAAGCCTGTCTGGCAGCAGTCGGAAGGGCAGTTAAAAGAAAGACTGGTGGCAGAGGGTCCAATTAAGCAGCCAGTGTAGAAACCATGAAGAAACAAAGAAGATCCTGAGCTAGAAAACACCACTGTTTCATATGCCTCCTACACAATCAAAGAACTTGAGAATAATTGTATTGATTTTTTTTAGCTAATATTTCACACAGTTCAGAGAGTTCACAAAATGCAAGCTTTTCAAATGTCCCACAAATAGGTTTCGCAGTTTAAAATAATCACAACACATTTATTGAAGATTCACTCTTGGGCACTATGCTGAGACTCCGTGTGAATTATATCACTTAATCCTTAAAACTTAATGAGACATTGGTTTTCTTCATCTCTGTTCTGAAGATGACAAAACAAGGGAGGTCAAATAATTTTCCCAATGTCATACAGTAGAGAGTGACAGAGCTGAATTTGACCCAAAAAATCTGTGTCGAGAAGTGCTTTTAACTTCATGCTACTGTGTCTTTTATAAAAGTAAATCAGCCAACATAACTTCCAAGGATGTTTACCCCTGTGTCTTTAGCTAGTGTGGACACTTAGGTATTGTTTTCCAGTTAGTCTAAGACAGAGGTCAGCAAACTTTCAAGCTGTGAAGGGCCAGAGAGTAAATATTTTAGGCTTTGCTGGCTGTAAGTCTCTATTGAAGCTCCTCACCTCTGCCTTTGCAGTGAGACAGCAGTCGTAGACACGAGTCACCAAATGAGTATGGTGGTGTGCCAGTAAAACTTTATTTACAAAAACCGGTGGCTGGCTGGATTTGGCCCACAGGTCATAGTTTGCTATCCCCTGGTCTAAGAAAATGACTATCCCTTCATTACATCTCTCTCTGTTTGAATTTATAATTATTGATTGTATTTAAAATTATAGAATATTAAAATCATTTGGGATGATTGGCTTAAATACCCACTAACTTTTAAGAAATTTCTACTGAGAGAGATGGAATAGGTACTATTTAGAAAACTCTATACCAGGAAGCTTTCTAGTCAGTTCCATTGTAGGAAGATGCCTTTTTAAATTCTTGTTCATAATGGTGCCATGCATGCCTTGAGGAGGATGCAGAAAATGCATGCTGTTTTTTCTGTCCTAGTGCACATATTTCTAATGGACAGATCATGCACAAACACACACACACATGCACATTCACCCTTTTTGTAATTAGAGCAAATGAAAGGTGGAGCAGGAAAGGCTATAGGATTCAAAGGAGAGGAAAGTAACTCAGAGCTTACCCTAACCTGCTCAGGGAAGACTTCCTGAAGGATATGGGCTCAAGTATGCCTGTGAAGGTGGTCAAAGCATTTATAACTAAAGGAGAGTAGAAATGGTTTTCCAAGTGAAGGGAACATTTCATGTAGAGGCACCCATGTGGGATCTTATGCAAAGAAGAGTCTGGCTGAAGTTAAATATTGGGGTGGGAGGAAGATTTGAATATCACAGTGGAAAGGTAGGATGAAATTAAATTATGAAGGATCTTCTATTCCAGCCACAAGAATTTGAGATTTTAGTGTAGACAAGTTGTTCTCAACCAGGGGTGATTTTGCCCCCAGGGGACATTTGACAAGTCTGGAGGCATTTTTGGTTATCACGACTGGGGAAGGGGAGTACCTACGGGCATCCAGTAGGTAGAGGCTGGGGATGCTGCTGAACACCCTATAGTACACAGGCAGCCCCCCACAACAAAGGGTTACCTGGCCCCAAATGTATATAATGCTCAAGTTGAGAAACCCTGGTGTGGGCCGTAGTAATCCATTGGCTCTCTGCAAATAGGAGAATGGGGTCATTGAAGCGATGAAGACTGATTCAGCGGCACCGTGTGGGACCAGTCAGAAGGTGGAGGCTGGACATAAAGAGTCTCTTCAATGACTTGTTTTCTTCATAAACATTTGAGAGCCTACTGTGTACAAGGCGTGGTGCCAGGCATGGCAGGGGATGGAGAGATGAATAACTGAGAGCTCTTGCTTCTGGAATCTCCTGGTCCAGGGGGCTGAGACCTGGCTGAGGCCTGGAGGGATTCAGCACAGTGCATGGGCGGCTGAGAGCTGCAGACGAAGTGTGGTCTCCTCCGTGCTAAGAGAGGCAGCGCCCCCTGCTAGGAGTTAGGGTGGAGCACTGTGAGGGACACAGCCTGTTTTCAGCGCCTGCTCCGATACCCAGGAGCCTGGAGCGCTGGGTCTGAGCTGAGACGTGGCCTTAGGCGTCATTGTGTGAGGTGAGGGACAAAGCGAGAGATGGTGTCTGGTGGAGAAACTGATCCTGTTACTGGAAAAACCCATTCCTGGAGTCTTTGAGAGGGGCACTTTCGACGGGACGGGGAGGCAGAGGCTGGCGGCACAGTGCCAGGCCCTGGAATCTCATAGACCTAGCTCTCAAGCACAAGGATGTAGTTTGCCAAGTCGACTCCTGTGAAGGGCAGAGTCGGGAGAGTGTGGATCTAGAGGGAAGGTGGCTCTACACCAGGGAGAAAGATGCTTCCGTTGGTCTCAGCCATTGGTTAAGACTTCACCATGACTCATGCCACTTCTATGAATCTGGGAGGAAGGAAGTGAGGGCGGTGGGGTCTCCTGGCCTCTGCACACATGGCTTACTATAATACAGCCTCGTGGGTTTCCAGGAGGGACCATGTGTCATTCGTAGTAACCATTATTCTTTTTAAGCAGGGCAAGTGCAGTAGTATTTTGCAAGGATTTTTGAGAGTAAAGCCATTTTTGGCTACAGCTGTATTACACAAGCGAATTTCTAAATGGATTATCTGGGGCTGATTTGCAAATATATGAAGACCTTGGACTTGTAAAAGTTATAAAATCTACAAAAGGAGTCACAGCACGTTTTCTTTCCTTTACAGATGTCCATAACCCCTTAGAAACCACAAATGATTCAAATTACCGAATGCTGTCAAAATTAAATCCACCTACCTCAAAACAAACACTCACATTTACGGCTCTGCTAAATCATTTTCTTGTCTTCTTTCTCTCTCTCTATAGACAAAACTCTGACTACTGTAGAAAAAAGAGTCATGATTCATGATCAAAAGCGAAATCACGGAGACGAAAAAAACCAGGCAAGACAGAGGTGGCAACAGAACGAAATCATTTGCTGAGACTATGGAATGCGGCTTCTGTCCTTTCTTGGGATGGCTCAGACGTGACAAACAGGGTGATCTGTTGTACAAAGTATATTATGAGGGAGATGGTGACCTCCTTTTTTTCCCCCCCTGTGGATCAGTGCTATTGTGTGCAATTGAAAATAGCCCTCAGTTCAAAGACAGCCAGATCAGCTCAGCTGTATGCGCTCCAACAGAGCTGAGTTCCAGAAAGGAAACAGTTTCTGGTGCTTTGCGTATGTCCAAGTTCATGCAAGTGGAAGCGAGTTCCAGCGCATACTTCCCATGCTTCCGAGTCTAGGCATTATGGTGAATATCCAGGAATCATTCATGAGGCAGCAACTCTTGTTGTAGGACAGAAGGGTGTTTTCCCAAGCTAACTGCAGTAAGCATAGTGTTGAATATGTTGCATGTCTGTGTTAGAAAACAGAGCCCCGTCATCAGCTCATGCAAACGATTTCCCAGAGCAGTGTCTGTTGTAAGCTTCTGTCAAACAGTTCGGCTTTTCTGCAGGGTCCCTGTGACTTCCCCACCAACGTACTTTCTTTGTTAACTCACTTACTGTTATGGTATAACTCAGGAACAGATCTCAGGATGGAGAGCATCATAAAACCGGAATAAAGCTTTTTCTTGGGCTCACACTTCTTCCAAGGGGTCCTGAGAGATTAAGGCAATTCCTTCCCTAAGGATTTCTACCAGGATGGAGAGCGAGGGCCACCTGACCGCACCGTAGGTTAGCATGGGTGTTGGCACTAAACCAACTCTCATCACACACGGGTGCTGCGGGCCCTCAGGCTGGTCCATCACTGTGTGTTTAGGGGAGGAAGTAGGGGAATAATGGGGTGTCCATGAAAGGTGGTGCCTCTGGAGATGGAGCGTCAGTATGTTAATTCTTGTTGAGTAGCATTGTGTTAAACTGAATTGTGCGAACCGGAGGTCACCTAGGCCATTCTTGGTGAACACTCCAGAATGCCATTCTGTTCCTTCTGGAAGACTTGTTTTTTTTTGTGTTCTCTGTATCTTAAATCAAATGTGTGCCTGGCCAGTTGTGTTCTCCTTTCTCCCTCCCCACAGTGGTAGATGTTAGGGCAGACAAGGAAGCAGAAGAGGCCCCTTTGCAGATAGGTTTTGTGTTTTTTTTTTCAGTGGAACTGTGCAATGTTATAAGCTAAGGAGACAGGAAGACAGTCGATGAGAAAAGAAGAGTGCCTCTAAGGGGAAACAAAATGAATGCAAACCTTCATTTGATAAAAGAGAACTGAAAAAGAATACTATTTTCCTACCATAAATGTAGCTGTCCCCTCACAGGATAACATGGAATTCCAACGTGGATTATGGATTTCTTCCAACTTTCACTGACATTGCTTCTTATCAGATACAGGGAAGGGTCTGCCTTTCCTGAAGGGGAGGCGGGCCTGTCCTTTGGGACAAAGCTTGCAAATCCCTGAACCGCAAATTTGCTAAAGTGACTGTATATACTTATACTCATAATTTAAATGATTAATTCTGGTCAGATAAATGTTGTTAAATTTGAAAATGTTTTATTACCTTACATCAAATAAAGTTTATTTGTAGCTGTAATAAAGCAACTTAAATAATGATTTTTAATTGGAGGTCTGATGTCATAAATGTTGGATATGTAGAATGGCAGAAGGGCAAGCTTTCTGTATTTGCTAAATTTTAACAGGTAATCAGGACAGCTCTGTAATTAATTGCATTTCACTGTGAGGATTCATCCATTTTGTAACTTTTTTTTTTAAGAATGAGTATTCATTTCTTGATTAATGAGCATTTATTGGACTCCTTCCATATTCAGCACTGTGGATAACAAAGGAACCAAGATGGGTAAAGCACGTTCTTACTTTTAAGAAGTTTGCCTTCAGGTACAAGGCAGACATTTCTCAGATTGTCACCATATAGTGTAGTAAATGCCATAGCAGTTTGCAGAGAGTGACAAGTTTTTTGTTTGTTTGTTTGTTTTCCTGTTCATATTTTTTTTGTTTTTTTTTCCTGTCCATAAGACAGGGCATTATGGTTAATTGAATTAATTAAGGTTTTCAAATGTTTTATTTAAATTTTTTTTATTAGGACCTTAGTTGTTCAAAGTGACTCTTGATCCCACCTGATTTGAACACCTGATTATTGAATTCAGCTTCATTCTGGCTACAGGGGCTGGACACTGGACACTGTGCTTTACATGTATGACAACCAAATGAAAGGAAAAGGTAGAAATTGAAAAATATCCAACAATTTATAATACTGTTTGACATGCAGCATAAATTGTGGCAAAGGGATAGCTTTTGATTTAACTAAGAATTGGGAAAATCACTGAAATAAACATTTTACATATACTTTATGACTGTTCAGCAAGAATGACTATTATGACTAATGTCTCTTCTCACTCTAGGGTATTAGCTGTCATTTTCTGGAAAGGCCTGTTTGGGGAGTAAAATACTTGTAAGAGATAATGACTGTTGTTTTAGTGTTTAGTTTTATTCTGTAAATATTAAACTGGAGGCACTCATAGTGTTCCTAGGTTTTCCGGGAACTTTTTGTAATTCTTAAAGCATTTAACATGGCATCATGTGCTTGACATGCTTATGTATATTTTTTATTGTTATATTTTTATGAAGTTTTGTTAGATCATTCATTACAGGCATGAGATCAACAAGGATAGAAAATTCAGGCAATTTTTCAAATAGTTTATGCTAATATAATATTGGATTGTCGGAAAAGTCATGACGTATTTTTCTATGTTTTTTGTTGCAAAAATGCATCATGACTTTTCTGACAACCCAGTAATTTTCCGAATTGCTATCTGGAGATGGTGAGAATCTTCCTTTCAGCACTTTGATTGTTAACTGACTTCCCAATTTAATGGATATAATGGATACAAATCCTGCATTTTTAAACAATCTGTGCCCCTTCCCATTTCAGGACCTTCACATGCTTCCCCTTTTCTGCCTGGAATATTCTTTCTGTTCTCAATTATTTATTTAACATATGTCGTCATCATTCTTTAGTAATTCTTCAGGGGCAGGGACCATGTCTGCTTTCCTCACCAGTATGCCCACCACATAGTACCATGCTTGGAACATACATAATAGGCATATAATAAATATTTTTTAATAGGAAGGGAAGAAGGAAAGAAGGAGGGAGGGAAGGAAGGACCTTGGAAGGAGAAGGAGGAAGTCCAGAGCTGAGACTTGACACCCTTTCTAATTTTCAGATGAGGAAATTGAGGAGACTTGGAGTGATGAAGTGACGCGTGCAGTGAGCGGGAGAGACGGAGCTGGGATTCAGCGCTCCTGTGTATGCCCTTAGGGCAGGCCCTCCACTCCACAGTGTTGCTGCTTTTGCATGAGTTTCTCATATCAAGAGAGCAACCTTTTCTTAATTTTCTGCACTAGTGGAGCAGAGCCGTGTATGTGTTATGGCGCATATGTTGAAACTTGTTTATCTACAGCTAGCCAGATGGTCCCTAACAGCACACAAAGCATCCATTTGGAAACTTTCAGAGGGTCAGCACATTTTGAAACCACTAGGAGTAATGCATATTTTGATGTCATTCCTTACAGGAAGCAGTGAAAATCAAAGCTGGAAGACCTTGTTAGATATTATGTGCAAAACTTGCAGACCTTGAGCACCAACTCAGGGGATCTAGTTCCCAGAGACAGAAGCTTATGTAATTGGCTCTTTCTTTAAACTTGCTTTGTCTACACTTTCTCTGGAGAAGGAAAGTAATTTCTTAACTTAAAGCACCTTGCTTTTCAAGCTCCTGCTGGCTAAATAAAAATTACAAAACAAAACCCTGCTTAGGCAGTACAAGTAAGACATGTGATGTGAACATCAGTAAAAATGTAACAGCAAAATTTACCATGGCTAATCTGAAGCGGAAAGTGAGAAAGGTTGACAACTGTCAGAAATAGATTTGTACATAACAGTTATGTTGGGCATTTGGCATTTTTTTAAAAAAAACCTGAATTGAAGGAATTAAGACATCTTGTAACTATGGCTCCCTGGACAGACACACATGAAATCTTAGATTCTATTCAAACTATAGAATTTATACTCAGAAATTATGGAACAAGAGTAAGATAATGGACAAGGAATAATCAGGATACTATAAGCAATAAAAGCCTAATCCATGATTCTCTAAGAATTTCACTGATTCATGCATTCACTCATTAATTCAAACAAATATCTATTTATATCAAAGACTGAAACACCAGAACCCAGTGGTGAGTAAGACAGAAACGATCTCCATTCTTGCGACGCTAAAAGCCTAACAAGGCAACTAAATGTTACGCATATGATTATGATAAAATGTGATATATGTTACAGTAAGGCAAACACAAGGAGGTTCAGAAAGAAATGCATACTTCAATATATTGATATAAATATAAACATTTAAATCTCAGTGGTGGAGACCGTGATGATCCAAAATAGCAGATGGTAAGAAGTATCTCGAGTTTATCTTTGATGTGTATTATGTAATATTTTTGGTACCAAATTACCTTTCTTAATTACATTTTGATTAGGCTATTATTAAAATGCTTTTTATTCTTCAACCCCACACTGTCTCACAGTGGGAGAGATGGTACAGAGCTACAAAGAGAGGCAGCCAAAAGTAAGCTGTATATATAAAATTTTCTTCTGGATAATTTACAAAGTGAATAATCCACATGTAAGAAAGTGAGATATCACTGTATCCATGGAGAATAAACAGAGCTAGAGAATTTCATGGATGATCTAGTACAGCACCCTATTGTTTAGCAGGTGATAAGATGCTAAATTAGAGCTGTGTTTTATTTGAATTTATTTAGAGGAGTGTGCTATAGAGCAGTGCTTTGCAAATTATCTTTGGTGAAGATTTTTTTTTCCAATCTTTTGCATAGCTGTGTCTTTGGAAAATGTAATAAAAATTAATCACAAGGGCTGGCCGAGTGGCGCGTTGGTTAGGAGTTGGCTTGGGATGCCAGCTCTGAGCAGCAGGGCTCCAGTTTGGATCCCACCTGAGGGCCAGTAACGCTGCGCCCTCTACAGCTAATATGGTGAACACAGGTCGACCTGGAGCTGGGCTGCCCTGAGTCACCGGCGATGGCATAGGCTGCAGTGGGGCTGGCCGGCAGCGGGCGTGAGCTTTCATGAGCTGCCGTGAGCCACACAAGAGGCCGTCCAATGGCCGGCGAGCGACTGCCTCACCCGGGAAGAGCGCAATAATAATACCAACATGGGCCAGTGAAGAGACATCCTCCACAACTAGACTGAAGAACAAAAGGACAGCAACTTGTCTGTTCTCCTTCCTTGATTCCCCAACACTGTTCCCCTCCCCCAATTCCCCAATCAAATGAAAAAAAAGAATTACAAGAAAAGCGAAAAAAACCCACACAAAATCTAAGTTCAGTTTTTTTTTTAAATTAGGTTCAATAGACATAAAATTACATTTCAAGAAATATGGTCAGGACACACATAACATGTAGAAAAAGAAAAGAATCACAAAAAGCTGACCATTGTCCACTGAAAGTGTGCTGTTTATTAGGGAAACCCTTGCAGTTTCCCGGTGGAGATAGGACTGCGGCATAATCATTACATGTGCAGGACGCTCCGTGTGCTGGGCTCCTCCACAGTATGCTGTGATGAGGGTGGCGTAGATGAGGCGGGTGTGGACTGAAGGAACAGCTTGTCCCTGAGAACTACACCTGGAGTAGTAACGTGCAGAGAAGTTCCTTGCGGTCATGAATCAGAGCCTTTAAATAACTGAACTTGTCCCCCCTGTGTTTCTGTTCTTCAGTTACCTACAATTAAATTGAATCCAGAATGCTGACCTGGAGGCACTGAAAGGTATTTAATTTTTAGAATGATTACATGAACTAAATTGTTCTTAAGGCAAAGAGACTAAATTTTGACAGTGTCAGAGTTTGAAGGGGAAAGGTGGTGATAGTCTATCTGGTAACCATACCATCTTATATCTTAAAATCGGTGTTTTCTAAAGTTCATTCTGAATAAGAATTATCTAGAGAACTTGTTAAATGTGACGATATCTGCACCCTATTTCTAGAGATGCATTTTGTCCTAGGGTGCAGTGGAGGGTGAAAAGGACTTTTTAACCAGCCTACATGTTTCTGATACAGCTGAGCTGGGTCCCAAATGTTGAGAATTGCTGTTCCCAAACATGCTGGCAAAATGAATTATCTGGCTGATCCTGTGCTATTTGTGTAGAAAGGCATGATTAATATGAAATGATATCTAAAGCATTTGTATTTGGTTATAGAATCTTGTCAGAAGTACACAACATGCTCACAAAGTCTTACATTCCATTTAGCACTCAGTGTTTAATTACTATTAGTACCAAAAATCCAGCAAGCTTGTGGAAGAAAATAATCCACAAATCACCTTAGTTTTCAACTATATTTAAAGACCTATGGATGCTTAGTTTTAAGTGCAGAGCTGGCTAATTCCTACATTATTGAGTATCTACTGTCACTAATTAGTATTGGCACTAACACAGGCTTAGCTGAGAATGAATGCATCATATTTCTGTCCCCATGGTCAAGCAGCTGATCAAATGCTTGTCAACAAAACAATGAGTAGACCTTTGTGAGATGTGTTGACTATTAGCCGCTGAGAATGAGATGTTGACCTTGGTCAGGGTCCATGCTTTCACCATTATGTATGTGTGTATATATTATGGCAGTGATTAATACAGCTCATGTTAATTGTTTATTACCCATCAGCCATTCTGATGGTCCTCACAACAAACCTAAAATGTTGTTATCGCCATTTAATGGGTGAGGGTACTGAGGCTTACAGAGCTCTAGGATATTGACTTGTAAGTGGCAGAACTGAGCTCACCAACTGATGCGTACTTTTCCTTATATCTTTCCGTTCCACAGAATGCATCTCATTGGTTATTGACTGGTTTTGTGGACCTGGATATATGCATCTGAACTCTTTGCATTTGGTTTGTCTAATATCTTTTACACTGAATACTCCAAAGCAGTTATTTAAGGTTAAATCCCAGATAATTGTGAGGAGAGCAAAGGCTGTGTTCCCTGCCTCCTAATCCTATTCTTGGATTCCTCCATTTCCAGGTACCTAGTATCTCGATGTTTTCTCCTGGTTATGCATTTCTGTTGCAACCTGCCTATGATGGTTCATTTTCTGTGTCAGTATGACTGGGTCAAGGGGTGCCATGATATTTGGCTAAACATTATTTCTGGGTGTGTCTGTGAGAGTTCTCTGAATGAGATTAGCATTTGAATTCATAGATTGAGTAAAGCAGATTGCTCTCCCTGCTGTAGGTGGGCTTTATCCAAACCGTTGAGGCTTTGAATAGAACAAAAAGGCAGAGGGAGATTTCACTTTCTGCCTGACAGCTCAGATGGGACACGGATCTCCTGCCCCTGGACCGGGACC